TCTGATGTTGATAGACATTATATGCATATGCTGATGTAATAGCAACTTGGAGTGTGCATGATTTATATATTGAAGTCCAGTATGGTTGTGAGGAGGCAATATAAACGTTAGTTTAATAACAATTATGTGGTGTATATTAATATTTTACAAACTAAATGCCACCAGTATCTTTATAGATTGATAGGATTATATGTTCATGTGTATATGTGTGAATGTGGGTCTGTATGTATGTGTATGTAAAATATTCGTACACCTGTACCTACACACATTCAGTGATGTCATAATGGCACTTCATACTGACTTTAAAGTGCTGCTGATTATTGAAATTTCTGGATTTTCGTGAGTCAGTTTTTGTTTAAAATTATATAAAATTTCAGTTAAATTATATAGAGAACAAAGGAAATAAGTTGCACTCATCATTTACTAATAATTTCCTCATAAAGTTATATAAAATTTCAGTTAAATTATATAGAGAAGAAATGAAATAAGTAGCACTCATCATTTTCTAATAATTTCCTCAATTTCATTGTTACCTCTTCACCTATTAGGGGTCTATATGGTGAGATTACTGTGTCATGGGGTACCACTGCACATCTCTTGCAGACCCCATCATGGGCCATCTGTACTGTCATGTTGGTAGCTTGGTCTTCGAATATTTGCACTGTCAAAATTGATAAACCATGTATGGGGGTTTTGATTTTCTTAAATAGCATGTGTGTCTGTAAGAATAAATGGCATATTTAAAGTATACACCACACTTCTGTTTCCTAAAATAAATAATGTGTGTGGCCATCATTACTGAACCGCCTCTGCAGTGAAGAAGCCAAACGATGTGTTTGTGAGCCTTTAATTACCTCAGAGGAGTCCTGTTTTCAGTCTTTCCAGTCTCTTGATAGCTTAGCCAGTATATATACATTTTACGTGACAATTTGTTTCACACACAAAAAAAATACCTTTATCTAAATTTACTTTTCACTGTTTCCTGGCCTATAATGAATTCGAATAGTGAAATAGTGGTTATCCCCAAACTGTCCCTTCAGTGAAGAAATCAGTATTTTTCTGAGGTTTTTCAGCTTCCTCTGTGTCAGTCATGTAAATGCTGTTAATAAAAAATGGTACTTACATGAATTGTGCAAAGGTTAACATCAGTTGTAAACAGTAATACTAAAAAATAATAGTGTATAATAAAATGCCCATCTCATACTCTTGGTATGTCATTGTGTATTATATAATTTAGGCATGGTAGATGTCACCCTCGTCCTGTGTAACCCAGGAACATTGTGCTTGTATTTAGAATTATAAAGTGTCACACAGTGTCTCTGCCTTCTTTGTTCTTTGTTCCCAGTGCCTCTGGAAATACATTGATAGGTAATAGAACTGGTTACCTTCTTCTTGGCTGAGCTGGTTTTATCTCTTTGTCCTCCTTCTCCCCAGATGATTTAGGGGATAAATGCAGATTTAGTCAAAGCTAATCATGGAAACTCCATTCTGACAATCTCATTGGGTAAGTATATGAACAGTGACATTAGGGAATACTATATAGTACTTCTGTAATAGATAACAATGATGAAGTATTTTCATAACATGAGAAAGTGTAAGAGACATGGAGAGAGATTGGACGTCTTTTGATGCATCTGTTCACATCTTTCTGTGACAATGGCTTCTTGTTTCTAGTCTGGAAGGGCAGTAGCCTGAAGATGACAGTGTGCACAATGGGGAAGCTGGCCCAGACAGGATGGCGCTGAGCTGCTTAGCACTGTACAACTGCTCTAGGTCTTTGTGTTATCTGCTACAGTAACTGTTTCTAATTTATATTAGGACTATCTGATACTTAGAGCTGAAGGCATTCAAGCTAATAACGGAACACTTCTAAGTGTTAATTCTATACAGTGATCATGGGAAGAATTTCTTTTGACAGTTTGATATAGGGATGGATGCTTTTTTAAGCCATGGTTCTTTTCAGTGGAACCTAGAATTCCTCAACTAGAAAGATTTTACTAAAGTGGTGTGGTCCAGAAACAAGGGATTCTGAAACAGCTAAAGATTAATGCCTACAGACAGCCATTCCCATTCTGATAAGGATGTTAACTGCATTACCAGATCCCTGTGAGAGCTGCTATCATTGAGAGAACATTGTCACTACCAAACTTATGGCACCAAATTGCTAGTTCCTTCCTTTGAAGACCGTATGAGAGCTGATGTCATTGAGAGAACACTGTCACTACCAAACTTATGGCACCAAATTGCTAGTTCCTTCCTTTGAAGACCCTAACTGGAGACATCTATCTGCAGGTGAGCCCAGGTGGGATCGGGGCTGGGGGATGGGCGGGATTCTGGGTAGGGAAAATGTAGAATAAGTAGCATAGTGATTTTCATCTCTGTGAATTCCTATGTAAAGCTCTTAGTATTCAAAATAAAGTTACGCTAATTAAAACTTAGTTTCCACTGTGTTGTACTTTCTTATTGGTATAAATGAATTCCCTTTGGAATTGAGTCCTGTGGCAGATATGCTTGTCTTCTGACATGTTTGAGGTGTCATTGTGTTAAATCACATTATTCATGCATCTCTCTGGTATTCCTGGATGTATGTGGTGTGAAGTAAGCAGCTCTGCATTCTTCCCCAAAAGTTAGCACCGTTTACCTGTACCATTTCACTCCTCACCCTTTCCTTGTTGGTTTGTTATGACATTATATCATATACTTAGACATAACATCTTGTGGTTATTGCTTTATTCTGGTTAAACTTGTCAACATCTTTATAGTGACAGAATCTATACTTGTGATCATACAGTAGGTGTTTACCCCAGGAAGCCAGCATTGGCGTACCAAAATAAGGCAGTTAGTACTGATCAGAGAGTGCTTTCAGATGTCACTATGGATCAGACCATTTGTGTTGTTGCCACCAGGAGTCATGTAAAGAACATATATTTGAGGGTCTGGAAAGATGGCTGGGATGTTAAGAGCGTTGGGTGCTCCTGCAGAGGACCTGGATTCGGTTCCCAACTCCCACATGGTGGCTAACAGCCATCCATAACTCCAGTTCCAGGAGATAGGATGCCCTCTTCTGACCTCCACAGGCATTGCATGACATGGGTTCAGTTGCATATGTACATGCAGGCAATATACTAATACACAGAAAATAAAAATAATAAAATATTTTTAAGAAGAAAATACATTGGTACTGTAGTCTATTCAAAGTCAGCTCTACACACACAGTACATTTTCAAAGGAGATAATGATTTCAAATGTTACAAAGAAAACTTAAAATGGAAAAAATTATTGGCAGGATAATTTGATCTAGGAAGAAGAGGAGTAGACCCCATTAAAAAGTCTACATTGAGGGATGAGCTAAAGCAGATGTCTTGAGAGAGAGAGAGAGAGAGAGAGAGAGGAGAGAGAGAAAGAGAAACAATCTTACATAATTTTATGTTTCACCAAACTATACCCTAGTTACCTGTAATATAGTTGTATTCTTTTGGGTTCTAGGGTCCTATTTAAATGAATATTTGTTTCCCCATACTAATCTGATTTCATAAGCAACAAATGAACCATCTCCCAGTATACTGGTATGTGAAACTAAGTTGTGGATTCTGAAATTATTAAGAAATTAAGAAATTACTTCCAGTGCCTGGAAATTGTTTTTTGATAAATTCCCAAGAGACTCTTTTTGGAATTGGGCCTATTTTCTGTCTCAATGTATCCGTCCCTCTTTTGGTATGCCTCAGCATTTCCCAAGTCCATATTTGTACACTTGGCAGGTGGAGTCAAAGCCTCTGGGGCGTTCAGACCCTGATGAACCTTGATTCCCTCAGCAACCTCCTTGCTTGCTGCCCCCAGTTGGAGACTCCAAGCTGTGACCACCTCCCCTCTTTCCCACCATCTCTTCTCCATCCCTGTGTGAAGAAAACTTGCCTATTCCTCTTTCTGAATTTCCTCTGAATCTTCATTTGTCTTTCAGCCCCTGGGAACTGCACATTGTAGCCTAATGCTTGTGTCTGCTGAACTCCACCTTCCTTCCCCACTTTCCTCAGACTTTACGTTCCTTGGGCTTTGTATATACTAGGTAAGCAACATAAA